TTTGTACTGTGAATGCGTTAAAATAACGCTTCAGGCGCCTGAGTTAGCAAATTTAGCTCAGCTCAGGCCTACTCAGTAGCAAATATGCAGTCTCTGACATTCATCTCTGCAGCAAAAATTACTGCATTCTAGGCTTACTAGTTGCATTGATATTTGCCCAATCACAGAGTTCTTAAGTTAATAATGTGTTATTATTCTCATGAGAATGCATGTATACTTGGACAAACAAGATTTCAAATTTTAGACGCACTTGTGCAATTCATTTTCCATTTGCTTGCACTGTTGCGGTCAAGGGGCGATTCATTAAAAAGTTGTATTACTTTTTGAGCAGCGTTGTATTACTTTTGAGTGATTTACCCTTGGTGGCGGCGTTAAGTTTAACCGATGTTTTTGAAATGAAACTTATTCGTTTTTCCTTTGGGTGTTTTTCATAATGTTTTATTTTTTAAAAATTAACCCATTTTGGCCCGCTGGTCGTTTTTCCGACCAGTGAAACGACCGTTGCTTCCCAGACTGATATCTCAGTTCCTAGGTGGTAAATTTGGTTACTTTTTTTTTTAAATTGAAGTTTGAAAGACGAACTATCCATTGGGAGTCAAAATAAAATGGAAAAAAAATCCAAGTTTTTCAAATCGAGCTACGAAAAATGATGTTTTTTGGACCTTTTTTCACTCAGTAGATAAGAAAATTTGGAAAATAAAAAATGCAAAAGTAATGATGCAGATCTTTCATAAAAAGACCATATATTTAGATACAATTCCTCTTCCGATATTTATTTCGTGATTTGTGTGCAGTGCACGTGCGTAAAAATGGGTGGTCGGAAATCCGACCATTGGTCCTATATGTGATCAAAAGAGGAAGAAATCAATTTTTTTAGATACTTTTTAAAACATTGATATTTGATATGACAATCATTCGTTTAGTCATAAAACGATAAAAAATAAATAGAAATGCCTATTCTAACTTAATATTAAGTGAAAAATGAATTCATCATAAATTATTCCATTCATTTGTGGGCCTCGTAGAGTGTGGAACACTTTGCGTGTAGGTGAATGTTGCAACGTTTGCAAATCTGGTTTGTGTGTTTGTGGCAGTGCTTGCATCGACGACTTTTTCCATCTGGTGACCGTTCAATGAGATAACTTTTGACTGCGTCATTTACCAGTCCATCAGGTTCATAATCAGGATCGTCAATGTCATCATTCTCCATATCGACCTCGTCGTCACTGGCAAACTCTTTCTCGAAGGAAGTGATCAAGTGCTTGGTGATTTTGGAACGGAATTCGAGTTGAATTTCTTGCCACGCACATTGACCCGAAAGTTCGCTGCTGCATTGTCATGCAAATCCACGCCGCCCATGTGTTGATTGTAAGAATTGATAAGGTGCGGCTGATGAAATGCTGCGATTCGCTTTTGCTTTCGATTATACCGTCGGGTCGTTTTCAATGGCTCAATCGTTTCAAAGTTTGTGATCATGTTGACGTCAGCGTTATCGTTCCAACGTGCCATGAGAATTTCGTTGGTCGTGTCGAATCGGTAGTCGTGATTGCCTCGAGGCAGTTCTTTGCCACTTTTCAAGTTGACATTCAGCATTCGATTTTTCCGAATCGTTCCACAGCCCAGGAAGCCACGTTCATTCATCAAACACATCAAATAATATGATAATAATAACTATCTATCATTTCTTGGAGCTCTGCCATTTTCAGGCATACTCGACGTGCCATTTTGCAAACGTTGATTCAAATTGATTTCACCTTCTATCAATAAAATGGATCTACTTCGATTCACTGACTGGGTCAAACTGATGTCATTCGAAAATGCATTCGTATTCAGCCGAGAAGAAATCAAATTGACACTCGCTATTTTTGATTGCATTGGCAAATTTCTTCGTGCGTATTCGAATTCATTCTTCAGTTCTTCATTCATATTTTTGTGAATTATGCCCGGCAACTGTGGACCAAACGCATTTTTTGATGACGAAATCATTTTTTCCATTATGGTGCATTCATTCTCCGTTTATTCATATAAATAAAAACATGATACAAATTCTTATGCTGACGATTGCAATAAAGTTTTCTCCGTTGGCCAACTGACTAAAATCATTCAAAATGCATATTATGAATTCAAACGATTATGAAATGTGATAAAACACGTCTAAAACAACGATATTGATGGTAAAAATTAATTCTATGAATGTATTTTCATTCTTTCTTGAGGATTAAAAAAATTCAAAATTTCACCTACATTTGATTACATTAGGGACCGTTGGTCGGAAAAACTACCAGCATATTTTTGCTCATTCTGGCTAAGTGCGAAAAAAAATTATCGATCTGGGAGGTGGAAACTTCTTTTTTCGACTATATTATTCATATCTGAAAGTTTGAATCATTTTGAAAACAAAATAAGGATCGCGGTCCAAAATGGGTTAAGCTCTTTAATTCTTTCAAATGGAAGGCCTTTTTAGCCGTTACACAAATTAGATTAGCGGGGCACGATAAGCCACCGCTTATTACTTACAAAATTTCTTTGTCCACTATCTTACCTTCAGCAATCTCCCTACGCAGATTGTTAGTTGATTGTCGAGAAGAGAACAATTCAATGAAACGCCACGATGCTATTCAATATTTTCTAAATCAGTATTTTTATTCTAAAATATATATAAATTACAGATCGTCAACAAAAATGGTGAAGTGTTAGGGGAGGGAGGATTGGTTGTGTGTATTTGTCTCTAGGGTTTATTTTTGTTACTTCTAATGGTATCAAAAGAGCGCGAAGGAAGCGAATGAAAAACAATTAAATTAACTAATACACATTGGTAGTACAATGAAATACTGCTGTGAACAATCATTGAGCGATAGAATAAGCTCATCTTTCATTTTCGACTAGTTATGATCGTTGCGTCGATAGGAGTTCGACATTTGAAAAAAAGAGAATAGACTAATCAATATGTTTCAAAAGGAAATAAAGGAAAAACAAACGATAAAAATTGATTTAAGAGTATAGTTTATAATAAATACTTTGATCATTATGTAATGTAGACCGATTGATTTGTTTTTCTTTTGATTAGGGGGTTATACATTTAGTAGACATATGTGTTATAAATAATTGTTTCTTTTGAGACTTTGATAATATTGGAATAGTTGTTGTGGTTGTTGTCAGTCGAAGAATTGGTTGGTTTTCATTTTTGATAAATCAATTGTGTTGCGAATCAATTTGTCCGGACGAAAATGTTCCAAAAGCTGAGTCCAAAACCAGATATGAAATCAATTGAAAATAGAAAACATTTTCCCAATTGGGTACCTGTATGTGCTTTAAATCGATTTGATTTTCAATATGCAAATAATGTTTCATCATTTTGGTTTTCTTCTTGTTCGTTACTTCTTCCAATGTGGAATAAAAAATTTCGTGTAAATTTCTTCTTTGTAAACGTAAAAACTTAATCGTTCCGATCGTTCGAAATGGGTTTTTCTCTTCTAATTTTTTTCTTCTCTTTTTGGATTTTTTTTTGCAATAAAGTGTGTACGTCACCAAACAAAATCCAATTTTTTTTCTTCGTATTTTCGTCACACATTTTTCTTTTAGTTTGTGCAATTCTTTGGCAAAAAAAACTTTACAAATACACTTTTTATCTAAATAGTTTGTAAATGTTCGACTTGACTACTTCTAGTACATTGTTTTTATTTTCTTTAGCAAAAATCGTTCCCATCATTTTAGTTTGGTTTTTAATTTTACTTGGTTGCATTTTTTTCATGTTTCTTGTCCATTTAGCGTCACATTTATTCCCATGTATCTATTTCTATCGCCTACCACATTTTAATTCGTCATTTTTTTTAATTCACAGATTTTGTTGTTGTTGGTTTTTTTTTGCAATTATTTTCTATGATCCCTTACCGATGATATAGAATTCCTTTTTGTCAATAAAAATTAAAAAAAAAATAGAATTTCCTTGTGGTTCGTTTGCACAAATTATTTAGTCTCAAATTTGTATGTTTACGCCACTGGAAAAAGGAAACAAAGTGAGACTACCATTGAGCAATTGATAGAGGCCAATTGAATGGATGACGATTTTGATGAAGGCGTGCATTTTTTTCACCTCTGACTATGCTCAAATTTAGAGACACTTGAAGTGTACACTTTGGTTTGCTCCGTCACATTGGAAAGTATAGTGATACAATTTATGTTGCCCAAAAATTGCGAAAAAAATTCTATTTTTTATTTCTAATTGAATCTGAGTTCATCAATCCCGATATTTAGAAAGAAGATTTGTGTTAGCAAATAATTTTTTTTCGATAAATTTTCCATGGATATTTGATCCCTTTGTATCATCAAATTTCTGCTGGTGAAATCCCTTAATTTGTCAAATTTTTGTTGCATTTCACAGACGAATTCAATGAAATTTTCTTGTCAATTTCCTTAAAAGCCAGTTTTAAACGAAGAAAAAAGAGCAATTCTTTCATTCTAAAACATATAGAAATAATTCGAAGTATTTTTTGTTTGTAGGAACATAAATATGAATTATAATTAAATTTAATTTCATTGTTGCGTCCTAGATTTATCTTAAATATAAAAGTATTTTTTTTTCGTCAGCCAATAATTTCGAGGGAGAAAGAGAACAGTGAGAAGAAAATAATTTGTTATAACATAGTCATTTAAATTGTATACTAAATCTAAGATTTTTCAATTTGAAATTGAACATTAATTGTCACTTGGTTTGAAATAGAACAGAAAAAGAAAAAAAAACGAATTAACGACGATTAAATAAATTGCAATGCGTAAAATATGTGTTTGAGCTCTCATTCGTTTAATTTGTGTTTGTAGCGATAGATTTGCATTGTTTTGTTGTTGGGAAGATAAGATTTATGCGTTGGTTCAGTTATTGCTATATTCAATTTTTTTTCTGGGATTAATGTATGAGTTCGTGGATAATTTGAATTGGTTCTTGTCATTAGAAAACTTGTTTTGGCCAATTTATTATTAGGTATGTTTCATGACCTGAAGAAACTTTATACTTGCTTCAAGTTCCACATTAGTCATGGGTGTTATGTTTCAAATGTGAAGTCGTTCATTGATGGGACTGATTTGATTATTTGGCCAAACGGCCTTTGGTTCGGTCTCATGGCTCTTGGTTGCGTCGCACCGCTTCGGGTGTGGTTGGTGGAAGGACTAGAGGTTTGCGCAAAATTTGCGGCTTTACTCTAACTTGTGGCTTGAATGAGGACAATGATGTTGGCTGTTGCGTTGGCTGTTGCTGTGGTGTGCTGCAGGGATCGGTGACGGTGTTGATGGCAGTTGTGTTTGATCCACTGCTCATACAGCCGCCGGTCAATTTCAGATCGGCAAATTGACTGACGAATTTCTGCGTATTCCGGGTTGGAATCGGGCTTTTGTGTTGCAAATCTTTGGTTGTGTTGTTCGGCTTAACACTTGCTTGGTCTTTTGAGATCACGGATGTTGATGATTCGTTGCCATTGTCACTGGTTCGATACAATTCCTTCATCAATGTACTTTCCTGTGGTTTTATTTCCGCCTTTGGCTTCTCGTGTGTACTGTTCCTGGTGGCAAGCACGGTGGTAGAGCCAGCTTCTGCATCGACTTGATTCTCTTTGTCGCTACTATCCGCTGGACCAGCCGTAAATCGTTCGTTTTTCTTTAACGTGCATTGACTTTGTGTGGCAAATCGTTCGGCGGTTGTCATGTCTTCGATCGATTTGGAATTGACCACATCATTCTTTGTCGTTGAACTGCCCGCATTGGCACCATCACTGCCCGTTTCATCGCTCGAATTCAGTGATTCACGTGAACTGTTAACGGCTCGTTCCTTATTCGATACCGGCAAATCCATTACCAGATCAGGTGCGATTCGATTGCGTGTGAGAATTCGCGGTGCCGTTAAACTGTGGGTTGATTGCATTTCCGTGCGTTTCTCCCATAGTTCACGGTTCTGTTGGAACAGATTCAAATTGGCGGCCACTCGATTCTCCGACAAACTGAAACTTTTCGAATGGAATTTCCGTTGAGCATTGTTTACCGAACGTTGAGCTACCACCGGCTCGTCACGGTTTGTATTTGAGTATTCATTCATCACGTGCGAATCAGAATGACGTGTTTTACCACTTTTATCCGTATTCAAAACGGCCGTATTTTCATATGTCACTGGCTCCGTTTCCGCTTCACTGTCACTGGCTCTTGGACCATGACGCAATTGAACGCCATCCGTCTCATCTGATTGTGAGGCATCCGTCGAACTTCCACTACCTCTAGCACCTGGCGTTGCCTTGAACACCGCAGCTGACGGCTTTATTGGCTCCGCATACACTGGCTCAGAAGGTCGCTTTTTCTAGTCGCAAAAAAATGAGAAAAAAAAAACAATATTGGTTTGACATCATTTTGAATAGAATTTTAATTGATTGAGTTAGTGAAATTGATTTGCTAATAATACTAGGTTATGTGAATAGGTGGAAATCTAGTGGTTTCTGCCATGAACGAAGGGTTTTAGTGTGAATTTTTTTTACCATCATTTTAGTTGTGAGCAATTATATGAAATTATTTTCGGTGTGCGGAATATTGATGCGAAAGATAGAGAAGTGTTTTTTTCGACTAATTGTCTAAATATAGGTTTTTTAGTGGTGATTAGAACATTTCAATAGGGAAAGTGAGGAAAAGGTGAAACAAGAAAAAAATAAAAAGAAATAAAGTGATCAAAGGCTCACCTTTCATGTCACACAACGAGAATACAAAACAACTTCAAATTTTTTAAGCGAAACAAAAAATTAATCGAAAAGATGAGGTCAATCGCATTTCAGGCCATAAAGAGCTTCGACAGTTGAGTAATCGGGAATTTTTGCTTTAATCACATTTTTTGCAGTGAAGAAATTTATCATAATCGTGAATTTTTGTTGGCGAATTCAAATTTTTGGAGAATTAATTTCGATTTTTTTTTTACTAAAAATTTAAAATTTGGTTCGAAAATATTGAATTTAATTTCAAGATTTTTTCATGTAGATATTTGTTCTAGAACGTTCATTTGTATTGTTTCATTCGGTCAACTCTTTGAAACCAACCGATAAAAATCTAATTTTTTTTTTCATTGTTTTTTCACATGAAACTTTTTTTTCTATAAATTATCCAAATTTTTAAATTTATGGTGAAGAAAAATATATTTTTTTTCATATTGAATCTCATTGAAATTCTCTAAATACATCAAGCGCTCTTCATGTCTTTCATGTTCTCGTGTCTGGTTAGTTTTTCATTTGAGCACTGCCTTATAATTCGCTAAACTTCGAATTTGCATGAAACAGTATAAATAGCTTCTTGGTATATAATTGCCGGCTTACTGCCGCAAGGCTTTTTCGTCGGTCCGCACATTATACCACCACGGTGGGTGCAGTTTACCGCTCAATAATGTACGAAACGGAACAGACTACGCATTCATGTTCTGCGCTGAATGTTGTTATAGTTTGTTCCGTTTGTACTAGAGAGGCTGGCTCTTACGAGAGTCACGATAGGGTAGACATTTGCAAGAGCATTTTTTTAGCCAATAATTTAAAGAAAATTTAAAAAAAACTCGAATATTCCTTCAACCTGTCGAAAAAATGGCGAGCAATTATTATTGGGTCCAAAAATGTAAATTTGATCAGTAGAAGTGTCAGTTTCTGCATTTAAATCGATTTTTTCTTCTGCATTAAAAGAAGTTTTAAAAACATCAATAGAAGACGGCTTAATGAAAGGAGGATGTCGAAAATTGAAGCGCGTTGAATGTGTGGTTCATCTGCAATCGGCCATGCGACGTTAACGCAAATGATCAATGATTTTTCTTTACTAATATACTGTAGTGTTTGTCATTGTCAAATTTGAGCGGAAGAAAAAAAAAACTGTGAGTTTTGAAAGTGTATAATGCTTCACAAATGAAAGAAAAAAAAAACAATTTAAACGATTAAGCACAAAACAAAAAAGCGAATATGAAAGTCCAACATGGAATTGGAATTTCAGCAGTGGCATGCTAAACAAAAAATATAAAATAAAAGATAAAATTAAAGAAACGAAAAAAAGGAGAAGAAAAACCAATGACACAACGATTTGAACAAAAATGAAGTTAGAAGGGAAACAGAACACAACAAAAGAAAAACGTGGCTAACGTATTAAACAATGAAATAAACAATTTTATTGTTTATTCGTCTTATGAAATAGATTGAGAGCGCGACATCAGAGTGGGCTCTCTGGCTCATCAACACAGAAAAAAAAACGTTTCTTATCTAATTGATTTGGTTGTCTCATTTCGCCAAATTTCTGGTTCTCATGAAAAATGAACAACAAAAAAATAAACAAAATGGTTGACGACAACGAGGCTAAAGTGAGACAAAATATTTTCTCAAATATAATATATATAATATTCAAATTAATACTATAAGCAAAATCTATATGCCATATATATTCTCGTGTATGTGTTTTATGAAGCTATTGTCAAAATTCACTAGCTTGATGTTGATTTCAAACGAAATTTCAAATAAACAGAAACGAAAAAAATGCCGATTCAAAATATGGAATGAGCAAAACTGGACAAAAAAAGGGGAAAAAAAGAACGAACTAAAAATTAACGCTGTAGACCTTAAAAAATACATCTAATAGCTATGTTCTTGATTTCATCAGGAAAACAGAGACGACAAAAAAAAAGTTGTAGACAATAAATTACAGTCTAATGCTTACAAAATTATCAATTATTTGGATATCAAATACCAAACGAAAAATAACATTTTCTCTTATGATTTCAAGTGGGGAGGAGAAAAAGGTAAAAAAAAATGTTTAATTTTATGTAGAGAATTCCGTTCTTTTTTTATGTTCTATTTGGCAAAGCAAATAAACAAACATGAAGAGTTGCGATGCTCTCTAACCATCTCTAACTAAATTGTGTATTAATCTAGAGTAAACACACGACAAAATACGGACACACACAAAATCTACGTATCGTTTCGAAGGCAGCTTGGTTCGCATATTCTTTTTTTTTTGTTTCGTTTTTAGTTTACTACGTAAAGTCTTGAACGTAATGACAAAAATTGAACTTAAACAGTAGTTTCCAGTACCTCATATTGAAAATTTTTATAATCCTCCAGGAATTCCATGGAATTTTCAAATGAATGCGGCTCATCGTGGTACGCGTATTTTGGTTTTGTGACATTTGAATCGACAATTGCCTCGTAATGGAAATCGTCGGCATTATCATCGGACCGGTCGGAACCGGATGCGGACGCTGTGCTTGCCTTCACAATTGTATTTTGTTTTGTTAGAATCAGACGCTCGGTGGAATCGGCACTGCTTTCGGCCGATGTCGACGATGAACTTGATTTAGTCGATTCGTTGCCGGAGATTTTTATCGGTTTTGACTGCGCATGTGGTGTTGTCGGGTGTGAATGATGAGTCATATGATGCACTCCAGGTGGCTGCTGAGGCGGCGCCTGTGGCTGTTGACCTTGTTCTGCACGACAGAAAGCAAAAAAAAGAACAGAACACCATTCATTAGTCATTTGCAAATGTTTTAATATTTCATGTTATAAGTCATTTACGTGATGGCGGACGCTCCAATTCCGTGGACATTGTCGTTTGAGAAAATATCGACAGTTGACTATTTATCGAAATATTTCCGCTCGGTCGCCGCTTTCGCACCGACTCCTCCGAACTCGATGATTTCAAATGGTCGCACGATTTATCACGATCTTCATCTCTGTGTGTGTGTGTTTTTTTTTGGGCGAGAACAAAAAAAATATTCAAATTTTTTGGAAAATTCAAAAGAAAATCAAATATTTTTCCTCAAAATGAAAAATGTTCAATGGGAATAGAGACATTGAATGAAAAATTACGTACTTTATTTTGAGCGATATGTATTTATCGGGAATTAAACCATCTTTGCCTCGAACGGTGCCTTGCCACCAATCATTCGACACTTGTTTTCGCAGTGTAACTAGATCGCCTTTGCGCAGTGACAATTCACGCTCGGAACGGGCAATGAAATCAAATTGAGCGGTCGCCTCCATTGTATCGGACTCTGTAATAAAGGATGCATTTCGCGTTTATGATTAAAATCAACTTTGTTGAAAAAACGTCTGTTGTTTTCTATTTGAACTTGATTTTTTTTTTTTGCATGACAACTTTCTTGCTTGATTGCAATGTTTGCACAAAAACTATTCAAACAGAGGATAAACTAACCGTCTTCGGATGGATACACTTCTGAGTCTGGATCTTCGGTAACTTGTTCGGTTGGCGAGTCACCGACGTCGCAATCGAACGGCTCTTGTGAGATATACTTCTCATAAATGGTACCGCCAAGATCTTTCGGGAATAGATCTTCATGGAATACAATCATGTTCTTGACCAAATCATTGACTTGATTCTGACACTGCACTTGGTCTTTTTCCTCTGGTGCCGGCATCAATGTTGGACCAAAGCAAATTGCCAAATTATACGCGTCCATCATATTTTCATCGGCGTACTCCGACAAACTGGAAACGAGAAGAGATGCAAGAGATTCACTTTTAGTTTCAGTATAAAAAGTTTGCGTTTATTTTTAACAAAAGTCGAACAATTCAACATTTCTTTCTGAATTGTACGATATTTCATTTGAAGAGATACTCACTGATTCAAAAATGCAAAAAGATATCGCATCACAATCACCACTGCTCGCGGTAGACTCTGCAAGAATTTTCGTATGCCCATCACCAATTCGTGCTTCGATTCAAGTTCTGGGAAATAATGAAAATGCAAATGAGACATTCAAAGTCGTTTCAATGTGAATCACGTAGAAAACGTTGTTACTTACGAGCAAGTGTAACGAAATGATCGAAATAGATGATGGGGAATAATGGTTCGCGCAATTCGCGCAAATACAATTTGAGCACACCAGCGACGGAATTAATATCGGACGCATCGGTTGTGTCAGCTAGTGGATCTTCGCCACGTTCAAAACATTCGCGGAAATTCGATATTTCAACTTGAGAACCAGACACTCGGAATATACCCTGATGATGAAGGCCTGCAATGATGAAAAAAAAAATGTTGGAAATATTGTCAGTAAATTTCTTTGAACTTCATCGATATTTCGACAAAAATAATTTCAGCAATTTGTTGTTAATTACCGTATAAATTAATGACACGGATGCAACTGCGCATAATCAGTGGTATCTCCTCGCCGGTTGCTTCAAGATATTCTTCAAGTGAGCCGCCAAAGAGTTTTGGCTGGCCGGTCATGTTCATGCGTCCGATTCGTTTTCGTTTCGGCACTTGAGATTTCACCAAAAGCGTTGCGTTCGAATTGAGCGACGAATCTTTGGCCAATTCAGTTCGAAGTAGCTCTGCTTTGGCGTCGAGACGGGCAATTCGTGATGTTCCCAGAATATATTCGCGAATTTTCTACACACAAATCCAAATAAAAATAAAATTGAATGAGTTTTACTTCGAATAAAATTAAAAAATAAATGGCAAAAAAATGGTGATAATGCCTTACCGTTATGTAAAATTCCTCTATTTCCTGTTTGTCAGATTTGAGTTTTTGTGTTAGACTGTCGGGTCTGGCTGATTGTGTTGTACTGTCGCCAAAATGGCTGCTACTGTCATAATCTTTCGTATTCAGAATTTCTAATAAATTGATTTCGGCCGTTTCGAGTGTTTTCCAAATCTCTTCCGATTCCATGCGCAAATTGCCAACACGTTGGCCAAGATGCTGAAGCCGTTGTTCCATTTCCGAGTGTAATGCCTTTGATAGTTCCGGCTCAACGGCCGACTCTTCATTCAGTTGACCTTGGAATTCCAGCCGTTTCGGTATCATAAATGCGCTGTGATAGAGTTCGAGAAACTTTTGCTTATCGGCTCGACTGTCCATCGCATGGATTGTGTGCGACATTTGATCAGCATTGTGCATGATGGCACGACAGCGTCCTTGATCAGCGGTCACATGCATCAACAATGCACGCGACATCATCGAATGAAAACCCAAATCCATGCACTATGTAATTCAAAAGTAAATGAAAATGTTTCGATGAAGAAAAAAATTGCAATGAAATGTCGATAAAGACGAATTTGTTGGACAAAATGCATTTTCTCCAACAAATTGCTTTTATGAACATCATAAAATAGTTGCAAGAATGAAATGTTAAACGAAACGAAATTAGAATAAAATTGGTTGAAATGTATAAAAAAAAAACATGGTGGAAAAAAGAAGGTATTTAAAAGCTAAAAATGATGAGAATCAATCGAGAAATAATGCATAAATAATTAAAAAATATTGGCTTTAGTGCACTAACATCGATCAAATCGCTTAGGTCCTCAACAAAATACTTGTGGATGGTTGTGTTTGAAGCCTCCAAACAGAGTTGATATTCATTTTTCGCTTTCAAAGCTTTCAGTCTTGCGTCGGTGTATTTCACTTTGCGCTGCAAATAAAAACGTTGACATTTTAGTTGAAGCACTGTTTTTAGGAGAAATTTTCATTCAATCATTTTTGATAGCTGTTTCCTTTCAAGTCATTTTTTATTAATTGATTGATTTTACCTCAAAAACGTTTGAATAACGGAATTATTGAATTTAAAATAAACATATTGACTCCGAAATTTCGAAATATTAAGAAGAAAATGCATTCTTCTGATGAAATGAATTCAAAAATGGAAAAAAATGACACAAAAAGAGAATAAACTGAAAAAGCGACAAAAACCGTTCGCCTGGATTCGCATTACCTTGAGCATTTCCTTTTCAATCAGTCTATATTTTTTGCTACGATCCAATTTTTCCTTTGGTATCGTCTGTTGCAATTTCATGCGTTGCGTTTCGGCGGTACGAAGTTTTGCTTCGGCTGCTTTGCACTCCGTTTGATAGCTATGATATGTTTTCATAGTTGTATGCAGCTCCTGAAGCACACGTAAAATTTCCTCGTGTGTTTCGTAGCCGATCTCTCGGCATTTCTTATAAATGCGTTGCACATCTTCGATGACGGTTTGTAAACGGGCCACCAGATGTGTTGTATAGATCTCCGACAGTGTTGCATGATCCTTTGACAATGCTTTCGTTTGATTGACAAGCAATTGCCAGCATGAATATGTCGAAAACATTGGCCATTGATCACGTCTGAAAATGACAAATCATTTTATTTTTTTGTGTTGTATTTCATTTTGAAGTCAGAACTGTGTAAAATTAAATTTGTTTCATTCATATCTCATGTCAAAGTTGATATTTTCTCCGAGGGGAAACACGTGTTTCGTATTGCCCCGAGAAGAATACCTTGTATAGATTTCAACGGTCAATAATTGCTGAATGTAATACTTAAAAAAAATGACTTTGATTTCCTGTGGTGCACTTACTTTTGCTTTTGTTCTTTGTGTCTTAATTGAATGCCTTTGGCCAATTTATCTAAACTGCGACTGTAGTCCAGTTCGACTTCACCGCGTCGCCGAAAAAAGTCTTGTAGTTCCTGAATTAACGACACTTGAGATTCCATACGAACGTCGAGACATCGTAGCTGTTCGTTCAACTGCAATCGTATATCTGTGTGGTGGAGGAAGAAAGGAATAAGTTTACAAAATTAGATACGACCAAAACTCGGAATCATGTATTCATTATGCACAATTAAACAAATCATTTTTAATGAATTTATCTGTCGCGATGCATCTGTCAGTCCGGAAGAGTCTTGTTATTGGAAGCATATACTTATACACTGTGATATTTCTCTCTGGCTTACTACTTACTCGTAGCATGTATCTCGCTTACTGATACAAATTAAATAATTATTCGCTGTGTTTTTTTCGCCAAGTGCACAGCCTCAAGCCGATTTACTTGAACACTTTTGCTATTTGACAATTATAATTCTGTGTTGAACAGCACATCGTCTATTTTACATTTACATTCATGTGTGATATATTCATTCGCATAAATCGAGTTAAATCATTTCTGCTGTTGATTGGAATTGAAATAAAGTTGCGCGTTGATGAATCTTTCCTTGACTGCGACTTAATTTAATCAAATGGAATTGAAATTAAATTTAAAAACTTTATCGAGTTTTGCTACTTCCAAACGGATTGGCTGCGATAGAGTTGAATTGCATTCGTCGTGCGAAATGATAACAACTTTGTAATACAAAGTTTTTCCACGGTGTATGTGGGAAATAAACGCAACGGTCTTAAAATGTACGCATCTTTTGAGCTCTTATCATGTTGCAAACAAAACAAAGTCATTTAAATCATCTCTGTTCAGATGCTCGAATCATTAAAACATAAACTTTGGAAATCTTTAGGGAAAAAAAGGTACGTGAATGAAGCACAAAAAGATGCAAATAATCGATTCTTCGCTGAAGAATCGTGATTTATGCACAAAAGGCCAGTTTTTCTTGCCGAAGACGAAATTGAGTTGTCTTCATTCTTACAAAAACTGTCTTCGTTTACAAAAGATATCGCTTTTTTCCTACCAAAACTGTGCTTTTTTTTCGTTATAACTTTTTTGCCCAAATGAGTGTCGTTTTTTATTTTATTCTCTAACCAGAAGTACCTCATTTCCTCTCCTAAAAGAATTATTCTCTCATAAAACGTGACGTTTGTCCCATTTCCATGTCTCGAGTATTTGAATTTCTTCTCTTCCAATCCCAGTCTTGAATTTCTTCTATTTAATTTAACGACTTGGATATTAAATTTTGAGAGCGAAAAAAAGAGTGCCTTTGTTTGACTGGTGAATTTTGCATTTTCTCATTAAAATAGTTTCGCTATCGTTGGTTTTCGGTAAGAAATGGATGTGATTTCGTATCGTGTAGTATTTTATCGCCGTTTGCCATGTAAAACACAAAAGTAATTTCGAATGTTGTTGGCATTTCATGTATGGTGAGCGCGCACGAGTGCGGGTGCAAATCTCTCTCTCTCTTTCAACCTGCTGCTACTGAACACCGGTTTGTCCGATTAGAATCGATGTTTTTGAAATGATACGAAACAATTGTGGGCATTAAAACGAAGGAAGAGAGTTAAATGATGTGAGTGGGAGTGGAGCAAGCTAATCAAGATGATATCTAGAAATTGACTCAAGTCATTGTCAAACATAGAGTGAAAAGAGAGAAAGAACGAATTAAAAAAAAAGAGATCGCCCCAATGCCTTGTAGTGCATGCATATGTGAACAATGTCGTTGCACAAAATATCTGCGTCGTTCATTCATGCCCGCGAGCATATTCACTGCAATATAATTCGAATTTGCTGAACTTCGCTTTGAATTTTGCCCCGGCATCTCTATGAAAGAGTCAAAATTGAAAATTCTCAATGAAAATTGGCTTTTCCATTTGGATTAATCATATGGAATCAAAAATCGTATGCTTGCCAGCAATATTCTATGAAATATGCATATATATTCCATTTTGATGTCATTTCGAAGTGGAAATCCAACGAAATACTCATTCAACATGGATGATGAAAAAAGTGAACACTGAAAATAGAATATTCATTTCGAAAAGTAGAAGAGTCATTTGCTGCTTTCAATGCATACAAATCAAATAGTCGTCATCAATTAGGCCATAGAATGTGGATGGCACGCCACATCGAAATAAAAAGAGCCGTACCGCGCCACTTTTTTTGCATGTTACATCGAAATGGAAATGGAAATGGCTAAGGATAGTGTAAGAGTGTAAGGGGCGTGACAATATAACGTTGGGCTATTTATATAATTTCGGTTCAAACATGTTGATGAGCTCAGAATTGTGCAAATATTGTTTTGTGTTGATCGTTTTCCGAAGCGCTGCGGTTCTCAAGCAGGCAAGAGAGAGAGAGAGAGAGAGAGAGAGAGAGAGATAGAGCCTCAAGCGGCGCACTCAATTCCTAAATCCAAAAATGATTCATTCGCCGAATGGTACCACATGTGCAATTGTAGACAACATCAACGAAAAAAAAGAAGAGCAAACGCAATTGAGTCATCAGCGTCAACACGACAAAAGCCTTGAAATCCGCAGCTCGGCTTTGCTTCAAACTGGTTTTAGGTCTTCTCGATCAGCGAGTGAATTGGATTTGAAAGATGATGGATTTTGTGTGTTGTTGTTGTTTTTATGAAAGAAAGTGATTGATGTGCAATTCAAATGGCTGACGATTTCCAATTACCGATATGAAGAGATAGATGATACACTCGTCATTCGCCGAGTGGCAAATGGGAAAGTCACAGCTGGTTCGCACAACGCGATGAAATTACTTAAGATTTAGCCAAATGGAAAACGAATGAAGGAACATCGGTCGGACGGACGAACGGACGAAGGGACGGTTGGTTATTTTATCAAAACTCGTTTCAACGCACATCTCTTCTTCATCTCGGCGTGTAAATTGCGTAGCAAAAAATCTTTTTGCATCACACGCACACACAAACGCGACGTACGCTCAAGACGCAAACGATGCATTTTATAAATAACCCAGTTATTAATGTGTAATAATTCAACGACCATAAAGAGAGTAGTCGAGATTCGTTCAACGGAACATGAACGAGATGAAGAGCAGGAGGATTGAGGTAGGATAGGACGGGGGAGGGCAAACAAACAGAGCAGTTACCTGGAAATACATCTCTTGTTTCTGGATTCGGCGCATGAATCCATCCATTACGCTGCTGAATGATACACTGAAACATTTTTACTGCTTCTTTTCTTCTACTTCACTGAACGTCCATGTGGTTTAATTTGGTTGCTGTTGTTGTTTTTATGTTTTGCTTTAAACCAAGCGCGTTTCACTTGCAATTTATCACAAATTCGTGTTGTGCGTTACATGTCATTTTAACCATGATACGTGTCATTCCCTCAAGTCAATTTTAATACAGCTGTTTAGAATAATCGTTGAATTCGTTAGAATTTTGGTCTTTCGCTCGCTTGTGGTTTATTTCATTTCATTTTTTTTTTCGTTTTGTTATTCCAGAGATCACAAACACATCAAATCACGACCAAGAGCTACAAATTGCTGCAGTTCATCGTTGCTGTTGTTTTTGTTTCTGTTATTTCGTTCCCCTTGGCATAATTTATGACGATGATCATATGCGATTTCAATTATGATTCACGGCACACTGTGTGGATTTATAATCGCTTTTCATGATTTCATCCCACAATTCAATCGAATTCCGACAGTTATAGACCCTTGAAGCAATTTTTCGGTATGTGTGTGTTCCATAAACCTGCATATGAAATCACATTGAGTGATTAGTGTCGACACGCGAGACATACTCACTCACACACAAAGAGAGATCAAACACAAACCAATTGCCAAGAGGATCTCCCTCTTTTCCATACAAAACATAAACTTGGTTTTGCATAGAAAAAAAACAACAACAAATCATAAACAGACGAAGGATAAAATACCCAATGCGTAGACGGATTTCATAGAAATATTCAAGTTGATAGAGCAAAATAATCACGAGAATGAGTCTCGATTGAGAATAATCAGTTTGACATGAACAAATAGAAAATCATCGCAACTTTGTATTGAAATTGCGGCTCAAGATGAATTTTTCTATGGAAAAAACATGTGTATGCTTGTTTTGGCATTTAAAATGTTCACAACTATAACGTTCAATGCATCCGGAATAAAATTTAATGCGCAAAATGGAGAAATAAAAGCAAAGATTGTAAATGGCAATTCGAATGGCACAACGGAATTTAATAAAATGAAATTCTAGTGAAAATCACTTCAAAATATACTTTATTTATTTAGGGCAATATCGTAAACACCTAATAAAACATTGACAGCACGAAAAATTACATCCGACGCCAAATAATAGACCCTCTCTTCATTCCGAGGCAACAAAAAGCAGAGAGGTTCATATTCAGCCCGTTGCGATATTAAATCGCTTCAATTTCGACTTTTCCATTTTGCAATCGAAAATCGCCGCCTAAATGGTGTGCGTTCAATTCTCAACTTCTTAAACTTGTCCCGTTCGAATTTTGTGTATCGAATTTAAATTTCATCATTTGGTCGTAGTTTTCCAAAGTTAGTGTTCAATTTCTCGTGTTTTTTTATCGATTTGCCGATCAATTTTTATTCTATATTAGTTCAGCCATTTCCAATTTTGTAGCTGTCTGATTTGTCGAATTTGCTCATAAAAACTTTAGCCGAAAATCGATCAAATGCTTATGTGTGTGTAGTTCGGGAAGTTAGTGTCGTTTTGATTGGAGAAACATGTGCTTTGTGGTGCACATTCCACGAATGCAAAACTTTGTTCCGTGCAAAACTATGTGATGTCAAGAGAGAGAGAGAGAGAGTGAGAGCACAAAAAGCTACCATAATAGAGTCGATGCCGGAATTTAATCGCCAACAAAAAACACTCCACAACGAGTCGCAATGGGTTCGAGTCATCATTTTAAATCAGGAGTTGGCATGTGCCTTTTTTCTTTGCTCTCAATACGGAGTGTGAGCGAGTGAGCGAGATAGACAAAGAGTCAGAAATAAACAAAACACTCAACAACGGAACTAAATTAATTCAGTTAAACAGCAAACGATTTCGAAAAAGAGTTTTGAAAACGAACTGCTGCTGCTGCTGCTGCTGTTGCATTGTTCTGTGCGAAAAATGTTATGCTCATTCAGCGAAACGGTTGGCAATGGTCGTTTCGTTTGCTTGAGAGAAATAAAAACAACGTCGAAACTCACTCTCTGATATACGACAAATAAATAACAAACTGACGATCGCATTTTTGATATGCGACGTTATTTATTTCGCACATTTATTTCTTTCCCGTTTGTCGGTTGTCGTTTGTATGTCGTTTTTTGTTTTGCCCCTTGTGCTGCTGGTCTCAGCGAGAAAGTTTTTTTTTGTTGAAGAAAATAAAAAAAAAGAACCAACAAACAGAAACCACCGGATAGAAAATTATGGGCGCACGAGCAATTCCTCATTTATTCAATATGAAATAAATCTATGTTTCGTCGTTGTCTCTCCCTTTCTCTCTGCTTTTTTTCTTGTTTTCCCTTCAAATGAATCAGAACGGTGCCCATTCGATTCTGGGAAAATGGCATAAATATCTGATGACATTAATATTGCTGCGGCTTCAGCAGCAGCGCACAAAAGAAACATTTGTTGTTGTTTCATTTCATTCGTTTATTCGATAAATTTGTGAATGAGATAAAAAAAGCCAGCCAGCAACCATGCCTCGTCGTCTTCTGTTATCTGTCAATACATCATTGTTGTTTATGTGAGTTCGATGCGCAAACAATTCCATAGTTTTCCAGTCATAGTTATTGCTGGGCCAATCGGTTTGGTTCACGTGTTTTTCAACTCGACTCTGAATCTCTAAAAACAATACCACATTCATTTGAATGAATGCCGCACTGTGCTATCTATCTGTTTTTATTCATATTTTGTTTTTTCGTACATGTGAAATAAAAACCATAAACAAAATCTGAAAAGAAAGTGAGTGCTTGTTGTTGTTTTATTTTCGTTCATTGAGAAAATCGTCAGTGAAACAATGATTTTGACAGCTAATCAACATGAAATGAGAGAAAGAGCAAGAACTCATAATCACATCACCGAATTCGGAGCAATTGAATCCAAGCCACAGCAACAACAACAAAAAAACTGGTCGAGATGACGCGAGAAAAGTGATAACAGTGAAAAGAATGTTGGCTGCTTTCAGTCATGTGAATGTGCGTTGTTGTTTTTTTTTCGTCTTCATTGTGATTCATACAAATCGTGTGTGCACCGACACATTACACCACGCATTCAGTGCGATGTGAATTCGGTCGCATGATGTGATGTAAGTAATGCAACACACAAAGTGGATCGAATGAAAATGAAAACACAAAATTGGCGCGCTGCGCTTTTTTTCCAACGCTATAACAGCGACAGTGAAGAAAGAAAGAAGAAAAAAATCCATGTAACCAATTCTCGCAGAGCATCGCGTCGCACGCTCTCTTTGTGTGACGACGTCAACGACGATGGGCGCATAATAACAACAGACGAGAAGAAAAAAGATAATAATCGCTACACACATTATTATGCTAAAGTGTTTACAATTTGCAGAGTAAAATTGCAGGCTTGTCTTTTGACGTTGTTGTGCACAGTGAAGTGATGCTGTGGCTATGCCTGTTGTTGTTGTTGTTGCATTTTATGCAATTGCAACTTGATTTATCAATTTCAAAGCATGGAAAATTAGCATGAAATCAACTGCATTTTCCAGCCAATCAATAATAAAACTGTAGTCAACATTAAACATTCAATCGATAACACAGACAGATATGAATAGATCAAAATGCGGAGACAGATAATTGAAACTGAGAGTGCAGAACCGGCATTGAATATAGAAAACATGGCGATGGAGAACGGGAGATTGGGAAAAATAGAAAATCGAAAATTGATTTAGACGTGGAAACGAACGGAGAAAGAGGTGAATAGAGAGATTGAGTTTAGAGACAGATAGCCACAGGTGACATGCACACACACACACACATAAATATACATATAGGCATCATCAGCAGTATTTATTCCAGCCAATCGATCCGACTAAATCGAGCAAATTGATCCAATTAAATGATACAGTGCAGATGAAAATGTGTGTCCACCGCGCGTTTGTTACTGTTTCACTCGCTGGCTCTCACACACACTCTCTCGCGTGTGAGTCGGCTTTTGAAATGATATTTACTAATATTAGATGCAGTACAATTAATTCAGTCACTATGTGTATTACGGTCGAATGGTCATAGAGATTTGTCGCTACGCCGTACTTTTGTTCTTATATTGACCAATCGTCAATTGAAGTTAATTCTATAAATTTACTGATTAAATGACATGAACGATTCGGGCGTGCGCGAAACTTCGATTCGCGTTTTTCTTTTCGTTCGTTCGTTCGTTTTTTTTTCTGCTAGTTTTTTTGTTTGATGCTGTTGTTATGGAAATTGCCGGTGCTGAGATAAATACAGAGCAAGCGCGAGATAGAGAGACAATGACAAAGACTACAAACAATTATCACTACTATTAGGTCGAGATAGACATTGTTCTAATTAATGTTAATTTAGCAACAAAACTCTACGTCTATCACATTCGCATCGTTATTCTGTCGATCAATTGCGAGAGTGCAAAGCGAAAATTGAAGCAAAACCAGAAATTAAAATGAAAAGAAAAAAAAACAAACACAATGTTTTAAAATAGACACTATGTCATTGTGGAATTCGCTTTCATTTGCACGCGACTCGTAGCACTCAAAATCGTCAATGGTACAAAAAAACAAATCAGAACCCAGCATGAGATTCGATTCAATAAAATGCATCGATAAGTCGTTTCGATTTGTTTCAGTGATATTGCGATTCGAGCCAATTTCTTGCTCTCCATCTCACTCACTCTCTTTCTTTCTCGTTTTTTTTACTCTATTCTTTCCTCTATTTCTCTTCATTGTGTTCTCTCTCTCTCTCTCTCTCTCTCTCTCTCTCTCTCTCTCTCTCTCTCAGCCCATAAGTCTCTTTTTTGTTTGCGACCACAACGCAATCGGCTCTCTCTCTCTTTCTCTCCCGGCAAAGGAATCAAGAATATTATTTTGCTTTCGTCGCATTCCGATGTTAATCGTAAGGCAATTTTATGCATGTAATATCATCGTAATTGATTTCTTCTATGAAATCGGTGTTGTTGGTTCGCGTGTTTTTTTCTTCTCTTCATTCGTTTGTTCGTGGTGTTTCTCGCTAGTTTCTAGTTGGCGACAGCGTCGTCGACTTTCGATTGCATTATACATATTACATTTTTGCATCGATTATTATACTGTAGGGAACGAGTGACAACCCCAATGTTGCATATACGCAAGCTCTTAATGCAAATGTACGTTTTTTTTTGTCATCGTCGTCGGTCGGTTG